GGGGGGGGGGGCCGGAGAGCCCCTGACCCAGCTGGAGGGAGGCCATCCAGAAAGATCTGGGCGAGGTGGGGGTGGCGGTGGGGGGCCTGAGATGGGCTGTAAAGGATGAGTAGGAGTTTGCTGTCTGGGAGAGGAGAGGAAAGGGCATTCCAAGTCAATGCAATGGCACGAGCAGAGACAGCACAGGAAACCAGGTCGCTCACAAGGTAAAGGGCGGTCCCGCCTGATCAGAGGCTGAGGACAGTCAACTGTCACACCAACTCAGTTTTGTTGGTAAGAAAACCGAGGCCCCGACGGGTTAAGTCAAAGGCCGGAGTCACACAGCTAAAAAAGCGGCAGCTTTTACGGGCTGTCTGGCTTCAGAGTCTGAGCATTAACCATGGCACTTCCGGTGGAAACCTATTCTTGTCCCCGTGCCCCCTGGAGTCACACTGCTGGGCACAGCCAGAGCCCCGGCCCAGCTCTGAGATCTGAAAACACCAGCCTGGAAACACCAGCACTGGCACCTGCTGGGTACTGGGACTCCGTGCTCATTACCCGGGCACCTGTGCGGAACCAGGCACAGAGAGGAGGGAGACTGAGCCCTTCCCTTGTGGAGTTGAAGGTCTCTGCGGCAGACACACAGAGACCAGTAGCCACAGTATGTCACCATGGATACGGTGGCAATGGCGATGGCGGGGGTGAGTGGCATTTGCTACGTGCGAGGCTTAAATCATTTCACGTAATCCTCCTACGAGCTCTTTGAGAAGGTGGTATCCTCCCTAATTTACAAAGAAGGAAACGAGGGCCAGAGAGGTTAAGTGACAAGCCGGAGGTCACACAGCTCGGCAGGTAGTACGACTTTTCTACCTAACTCGAAAGCCCCAGTGTGAAACCAACCATTGCACTGCACAGTGAGGGCCCACCGTGGCCATATTTAACCCACACAAACTTCAGTGTATCTGCCCGGCAGCAGAAGAGAAAGGAAAGCAATGATGGAGCCCACAGTCCCCCTCAGTGAACAAACACCCGGCGGGAAGGAGGGAGGCGGGAGGGAGGAGCCGGGGGGCCATCTGTTCCCTCGGACCCTGAGAACAATTCATCACCTGGGCATCCTGCCACATCAGATAAGACTTTAGTTACTAACAACTAAACCCTCGTGCACAGTGGGCCCGAACACAACCCCCCACCCCCCCTTCATCTGGGTCAGCCAGCGCCGGAGGGGGAAACATCTAAATTGGAGACGATGCACGACAGACTCAAATACGGGAGAGCCTTCCTAACAGCGTTTACTTTTCCTCTGCCTTCCTCCAGCCCTCTTTCTTTTTCCCCTTCTTTCGTTTTCTTTCTTTTTTTTTAATTTTTAAATGTTTATTTTTTGAGAGAGAGAGAGAGAGAGAGAGAGCACGAGCATGAGTGGGGGAGGGGCAGAGAGAAAGAGGGAGACACAGAATTCGAAGCAGGCTCCAGGCTCTGAGCCGGCAGCACAGAGCCCGACGCGGGGCTCGAACTCATGAACCAGGAGATCGTGACCTGAGCCGAAGTCGGACGCTTAACCAACTGAGCCATGCGGGTGCCCCTTCGTTTTCTTTCTTTTAAATAGTCACGTGGTTCAAAACTCCAAACAACATACACATGCATATCATTAAAATCTTGTTACCCACCCATCTGCCCTCCCCCTCCTCCTGCCCCCTTCTCAGGTGAACAGTACTGTTTCTGTGATACAAAGACAAGCAACTGTGAATATCTCTTGCTTCCCCCACGTCCCTGCTTATTAAAAACGCAAACAGGGGCGCCTGGGTGGCGCAGTCGGTTAAGCGTCCGACTTCAGCCAGGTCACGATCTCGCGGTCCGTGAGTTCGAGCCCCGCATCGGGCTCTGGGCTGATGGCTCAGAGCCTGGAGCCTGTTTCCGATTCTGTGTCTCCCTCTCTCTCTGCCCCTCGCCCGTTCATGCTCTGTCTCTCTCTGTCCCAAAAATAAATAAACGTTGAAAAAAAAAATTAAAAAAAAAAAAACGCAAACAAACAAACAAAAACCAAAACAAAAAATGGCATTCTACCCACGGTCCTAGGCTCCTTGCTTCTTTTCACTTCTTAAAGCATGCGAGAGAATTCTCCCGAGGGATCTTTGAGAGTAACGTTGACCGTATTTGAGTT